CATCCATCCATCCATCCATCCATCCATCCATCCATCCATCCATCCATCCATCCATCCATCCATCCATCCATCCATCCATCCATGGACTCATCCTTCCTCCTGCTGCACATCTCTTCATTTCGCAGTCTGTAGCCACTGCCCACTTGACTTCTGATCAGCAGTTGATTGGCTGCCCTTTACCAAGAGGTCCCAGTCGCTTTGAACCCCACCATCCACTGCAGCTCCTCAATCCCAGACAGATACTCCACACGCACGCAGGACGCACTTATACGGAACGCATCAAAAAGACTTGGATGATATAATCTGCGGTGGCTGTAACTAGTGGTGATGCAACAGCGAACCAATGCTTTCAGAGGCCTGCCCTCTACAGAAGCACAGCTCTGTCTCTGCATGGAGATCAAAGACAGTTTAGAGGACCCCTCTCCACCCCACCACCCCCCCACCCCTCACTGCTTCAAAAATGAACTCAATCTAGCAAAATGAATTGTGGGACCATGTTTTCCTCCCCACCTTTCCTCCCTGGAGCTCCGCTGCTCTCCTCGCACTTTGTGGTGTGCTGCAGTTTCTCCCTACATATTGTAGAAACAAGTTTGAAACATTTGTATTTTTTCTATATTAGGAGGCGATAGCTTCCAAGAATGGCATTACATAGAGGGACACATAGGTGTGAGGAGTAAAGAAAGAAATTGCAGTCTTAACTCATTATACTTAATTAAAGCTCATTATTCAGATATAAAATAAAGGCTGTTTTATTTATTTATTTTCTTATATTTAAATCAAGATTGCCTTTGAAAATCTCCAATTGATGATCTAAAATACTGAGAGTGATCAAACCAGAACTGGATTATTATACAGAGAGTTCTTTATGGCCCTCTTTATTTGTTCTTCTTCTTTTTTTTTTTTTTTATACAGAGAATGTTCTGCTTTCTTTGTTTCATGTGAAAACATATTTGTCAGTGAGAAAAACAGTGATTAATCAAAGTTATTTTTTAAGTACAAACATTCAAAAACCTTGTTTGTAATATGATCCAAGTCCAAAAACAATGCCACACTTTAGTGGTTTGTGCAGAAATTAAAGTAGCTTCTATAACTTTTTTCATTAAACATCAAAATGCTACACAAAGAAGTTGATGATTCAAGGAGAAGGTGTGTGAAAAAAACATGAGCAACAACTTTTTTTGGGGAATCTTTCTTTCCTAGCCTTGCTTTAGCCACCTTAAGGATCCTCTTTTGAATGTTAATCTACTAGACTCTGTTGGTTCAGTCAAAAAAAAAGGTGCAGTTTAGTGCATTTGTGGTAAATTTAATGCAAACTATCAGAAGTCATAACAAATAGCGCACATCTGCAAAGGTAGCCTACTACAGTGATTTTGGATGGAAGCCAACAGACTTTGTAGACACAAAACCTTAAATATTAAAAGCAAACTTAACTCATATGAGCCCTAAAGTGTTTGACCTTGTCAACATGTGAATAAAAACCATCTCCTCTATAATAAATAATCACAATAAAACCCTCAAGCAAAGCGTACTGTTGTTCTTTCTTAGCGTTAAAGCCCACTTCTCTATTACGCACATCCAGTTGTCCCTTTAATATTTTCCTCTGCAATGGAAACGGCTCATCCACCATCATCTCTCTCCACTCTTTGATCTTGGGCTCGCTGCACGCATGCGCCTCTCATTGGCTCCTCTGCACCGTCTGGAGTAAGTTGGATGTGCGCTCTCCTCACTCGCATCCAGAAGCCATCGGGAAAACTGTTGCGATGGGGAGGATCAGGGAAAACCACTTTGGGATTTTGACTTTTTCCCTCCTGGTGACCTTCATCTGGGCGCAAAGGTAAACCTTGATTATGTTTTTTTTTTTTCCCACATGTAGTTTTGCATGTCATGTTGCTCCTTTTTTCTATATATACCTTTTATCTTTTCTGCAGCGTCAAGGATCTAAAAGATCCGAGTAATATGCCTTTGGTGAAGGAAACAGTGGACAGGCTGATGAAAGGATACGACATTCGGTTGAGGCCGGATTTTGGAGGTAAAGAAAATTTTTTTCGCGCCCCTCCCGACGTGCAATACATGCTTAATGAATCGCAAAATCCGCTTTAATCATCCCTTCACAGTCAAATGGGCCTTGCCAATTAGGCGAAGAGAAATGATGAGCGTATTCCGCTTTGATAAGAGGCTTTTTAACGTGATCGATCCCGCTCATCAATGTTTGATTACCCCCGCTAAATAAATGAAATTAACAGCATTTCAATTAAAGTGGGTGTCAGACGTGACGGCTGCTGCCCGGCCCGATGATGCACGGCTCTCCTGCAGCGTCACGGAGCTGTTAAATTTACATGATGGCAGAATTATTCATATCTGGTCCTGGATTAACGCATCCTCTCCTCCGCAGGTGCTCCGGTGGCGGTGGGGATGAACATTGACATTGCAAGCATAGATATGGTCTCAGAAGTAAATATGGTAGGTGCATTTTCATGCAATCGTTGCGCTTTTTAAAAAAATAATATTATTTTACTTGGCAAGGTGCGCCTCTTATTGCATTTTTAAAAGTGGGGCACTTATCAAATCCCTGTGGGATTTTTTTTCTCCTATTTTTTCTCAAACACATCACCACCTTCCCTCTTCCTAGACTCCGCATTTGCTGCTCTGGTGTGCGGCTGCATTTGAATTCAAAACACACACTCACTGGCGCACTGGGACGCACAGCGCACGAAGAGCAGCCGCGTGTGTTTAATGTGTGCGCGGCTGCCCCAGCATCACTGTTTAGCAATAGACCTTGCTTGGTTGTGACACTTTTCACTCTTGCATTCATTTTTCATCAGTGGAACACCTCTATTAACAATTCAAAGAAAGCTGAAGGGGATGAGATCAATAAAAATTATATATTTTTTACAATTAATTGTCATCATTAACACCCAGGCAGGTATGATTCCATTTGGGCAGCATGTGTGCAGGCTGTAATGTTAAAAATCTAAATATTTATGAAGACAGAGTACCTGTGAACATGTAAGTAGGCCAGGGCTCAAGCAGGACCTTTGCTGCAACAGGGCTAACCACTGCACCAATGGCAGAAAAACACAAATAATATACCTTAAGGCTTAATTCAAGCAGTAAGATTGTGAAATAAGGATCACCATAAAAAAAGAATTTTGTGTTAGCATTGTGTTGAATAAAACAAAATTTTATGCAAGTGAACTGGAGTGCATTTATGCAGATTGCACATGGCTAACTATGGGGGAATTAAGGCCACCGCCTTAAAGCTAGGGTGAATTCCTCCATCATATGCACAGATGATCTAAGTTTGATGTGGATTTTTGCCTGAATAAGTTTAGCAAAAAATGCAGTAGCTGTAGCCTTCATAAGTTTAAAAAAAATAAACTTGGGTTTTGAAATTGAATAGGGCTACTTAGAAGTCTCTGTTGGATAAAGTTCCAGAATCAGATTTTTCTAGGATTTGGAGTTGTGATGGTCCTTGACTTAATTTTCAACGGTTGGGTCATTGCTTGGTAATATTTCACTCAACAGTCATGTTTAAGTTGTTAAGTGATATAATGGATTGTTTGATATAATAATTAACTTTCATTTAGTTCTGCCACCAAATATATTTGTTGAATTGTGATGATTACTAATATTATTGTGCATTGATGACTGTCCATGGTGATGAAATATGTTTATATTTATGTTAGTTAGATTTTCCCTTTAATTTCTTGTTAATTCTTCCTAAGATCACAATGAAAAACACAACTAATACATGGGTGAAGTCAAAGTTGAATCATTATCTAATTGAATCATTGAATCAGTTGAATATTTAAATGTTTAACTTAATATCAAGATCATTTTGCTTTTGTGATTTTTCCCTTCTATGTTAAAAAAAAATATATATTGATTTGCTAATTGTTTGACCCTTTTCCCTAACGACCGCAGCTAAGGTGGGCTGTTCACAGGCAGCACCTGCATCATGTCTTTGAGAGTAGAAGGAAAAATTCAGTATCCCAAGAGCCCCATCTATTAATCGTTGTCATCGACAGACTGGTTGACTGCTGCCTGCATTAAGTTGTAATGGTTTTACTGTAGTGCTGCATGGTGGAGCAGTTAGTTGCACCGTTGTGGTGCAGCAAGAAGGTCCTAGGTCTGCCTGCAGGTTCCCTCCAGGGTTCTTCCTCCCTTAGTCCAAAAACATCACTTAGATGGATTGGTTAGCATGTAAATGGTAAATGGCCTCTACTTATATAGCACTTTTTCAAGTCAGAGGACTTCACCAAAGCGCTTTACACTAAATTCAGTTATTCACCCATTTATGCACATCCCCACACACTGATGGTGGTGAGCTATGTTGTAGCGACAGTGGCGTTGGATGTAGGAGTTTGCCCTGAAATCGAAGGGTTGACGGTTCAAGCCCTGACTCCGACTTTCAGTGTCGTTGTGTCCTTGGGCAAGACACTTCACCTGCATTGATGGTGGTCAGAGGGCCTGGTGGCGCCAGTGTACGGCAGCCCCGCTTCTGTCAGTGAGCCCCAGGGCAGCTGTGGCTACAATGTAGCTTGCCATCATCTGTGTGTGAATGGGTGAATGAATGTAGTGTAAAGTGCTTTGGTCAAGTCTCCTAACTTGAATAAAGGTGCTATATAAGTACATGCCAATTACCATTTACCATAGCCAAAGCTGCCTTGGCTATGGCTATTGACAGAAGCGAGGCTGCTGTACACTGGTGCCACCAGTCCCTCTGATCACCATCAGTAGGAAATGCAGGTCAGGTGTCTTGCAATGACACTGAAATCCAGACCCGGGGCTTGAACTGATAACCCTATGGTTGCAAGCAAACTCCTTCATCAGACGCCACTGTCGCCATGCATGGTTGTGCAAACTCTGTATTGCCCTGTGATGGGATGGTAACCCATCCAGGGTTTAACCCACCTTTCTCCATAGACTATTAGAAATAGGCAAAAGCCCCATTATGGCCCTCATACACCAGTGGTGTAAGATATCTAAAATTCTTTAAAAGCACTTTTTACAAAAAATAAGTGGGAGGAAAGCTCATTTGAAGGAGTAGCACAATAGATATATGTTATCATACACATAAAATGGAAGGTAAATTGCTTAAAGTTAACTGCAGTATGCAACTTTACCACTAGATGTTAGATCTAGATTTTTTTTATTATGTTTTTTAAATTTCTTTCTGTCAAACCTTTAACACTTTTAAAACATTTATTCGCCCATCAAATTCCCATTCTAGATATTTAGAATCTCTTTGATTTTAAGTTTTTGCTTGAAACCTTTTACATTTCTCTAATTGTATTTTTTTTAAATAATTTATCTTTGTAGAGTTGTGCCGAATAGGTCTCTTCACTAATGAAAGATTAGAGACCCGTTTAGATATTTTCATTTCAGTTCTTCATGAAAATTTGGTGACTCTTTATGAACTGTTTTGTTAATTTAATCTATTTAGTTAAAGAGGAATACAATAAGCAGTCTTAACACAGTCTAGGAATTGTAGATGATTTTCAAAAATTTGCCTCCAACCACTTCACTTACTGCATCTAAAGTGGCCAATAATGCCTGGGGGTCATTTTAATATATATAGTAGGGCTGCAACTACTGATTATTTTGCTAATCCATTAATGTGTTGATTATTGTTTCGATTAATAATCGGATAGCAAAAGGCTCCCATGTCAGTGGATGAAGAGAAAACACCCAGCCAGTCAGAGAAACAGTACTACACTGAAAAACAGACCAATCTCAAACATCTATAAAAAAAAGGTGTTGATGGCAGCAGCACAGCTGATATTTCTCTCCAAGATGGAGTCACAGCCAAACAGGAACAGATTCGGCAAAGCTACTATGAGAAAAAGCAAAGAGAGCATAATGTTAGAGACTGAACTATCAATTCTGCTGAGTGGGAGAATAGAGATAGAATGAAGCAGAATGATGAAAAAGGGGTCCCTATGTTCTCCAGCAGTCTAAGTCTATAGCAGCATAACTAGAGGTAGAGATAGTTCTGGATAACCTGAGCCACTCTAACTATAAGCTTTATAAAAAAAAAAGAGGAAAGTTTTAAGCCTTGTCTTAAAAGTAAACATGGTGTCTGCCTCATGGACTAAAACTGGTAGTTAATTCCACAGGAGAGGAGCCTGATAACTAAAAGAGCTGCCTCCCATTCTACTTTTAGAAATTCTAGGAACCACTAGTAAACCTGCAGATTGAGAGCGAA